GTGTGTGTGTGTGTGTGTGTGTGTGTATTTACCACATAGGTAGACGGGGCAGCATCGATCTGTGGCGTTTCTGTCGACAGTCAGCACCTCACCATCCTGACACAGAGGAGCTAGTTCCACACAGGAGGAGCACACTGGAGGAAACAAGCAGGTAGTTTAACATGTTTTAACTTGATGCTGATTGGCTGGTGCTAAATGTGTCACAAAACAGCAGAGAATGAACTGACCGCAAATGTGAGCGAGACAGCAGCTGCCATCAGCTTTGGTGGCAATCAGAGTCTGGTCGTCTCTGCAGGTGGGGATGATGCTGGGTTCACAGAGGTCAGGATCACACTCTGAACCAAAATCAGAAGGAACAAATCGTAAAACACACCTAAGCGTTGAAGGTTTTATTATTCAGTTACGCATACACCTACGTGGTGTCAGGTTGTACAGTGGTGATTTAGTCTTAGTGTTAATCAGTCAACTAGAAACTCACCACAAACATGTTGTGGACAGCAGGAGTCTGATCTGTAATACGACACCAGCTTCTCCCCATATTTACACTCAGGAGGCAGCTGGTCACACAGGCTCTGGTTACACACTGCAGAGTCACACATTAGAACGTTAGCTGTTGTTTTTTTTTATTATTATTATTGTTCGAAGCGGGTAACTGGGGTTTCTGTGTTTTAAAAAAATGTTCTTGTGGTTTTACCACAGATTTTATGTGGACAGCAGCCGGTGTCGTCAGCCATGCTGATGATCATCTCTCCTGTTCGATGGCACACGGGCGTCGGCATGCTGGAGCAGTTGAACTCCACTGGAACGATGGTGTCGTTGTCGCAGCGGTACATGCAGCAACCATCCTTCGAGGCTGTCCACACCTCTCCGTGTGCCCGAGGAACACCAGCACCATCGGTGCAAGCTGCAGAAACATGAACACTGCACCTCAGATAAAAACACTGAACATACTACACTTATTCGTTATTCCCACCAGAGCCAGGAAACAAAGTTTAGAGGCATACAGTGTGAATAAATATTTTGACTGGTTGTGTGAACACAAGAAATATATGAAAATTACTACTTGATCCATGGTACTAAAACTATAACGCTGCTGGCACGCAGATGCCATTTTACATTTTGTTATCACCCAATTGTCACCTTTAGTTAACAGTTTACTCTTTAAGATAAACTTTGTCTTCTAATCTCTCTTTCACTCTTTCCCACTACATTTCCCTTTTTTCTTCACTTTCTGCGTACTCCAGCTGTTCTATAGAACCTCCTTGGTTCAAAAGAAATTCACAGTGTAAAATGTCATTTAGCTGCACTTTTCCTGGCTACTTTTGGTGCGGTCGAGTTGTACTAGGAAGTAGGAACTTCCCACTTACAAGTTGTAAATTCAAACTGGAATGCCCCACCAGTGAGATTTCAGAAAACAAGATGGCGGCTAATCCCCACAACTAAATTGTCTCTTACTTTTTATAGTATTTTTGTATTATTTATTTCCCGTAGAGCTCAGTCATTGTTTATTAGTGACGTTCAGTTGTAGCAGTTTGAGAAGTTTGAGGATTCGTGTTTAGTTGAAGTTAAACATGAAATGTTGAAGTTTACAACTGGCTTGTTGAGAGAGCCAGGCAAAATTTGACTTTTTGGTATTTAGGAACCATCCGAATCTGATTGTAATGAATTGGATTATATTTGGACTGTTGTGGGTTGCATGTAAACAGATTTGAATTGGACATTGGTGTTTTTTGTATAGAATTCTGACTTGAATTTTCTTGAGTGCAAATGTATTCATGCATTGATGCACACAGCTGAAAGAGGGTCTTACCACACTTTTCATGGGGGATGCAGAGTGCAGAGTATGGCCGGTGGAGGAGAGTTCCCTCTGGGCACACACAGCCCTCTGTCAGACCTGAACAGTGGTCTGGATCAGAGTCAAAGTCGTGGTTTGGGCAGGACTGAGACGTGCATGTTGGAAGACAGGCTTCATATCGCAGAGTGTTAGGACATGCAAAGGCTGCAGGAAGAAACAACGTTTCAGTGTTTCAAATATTTCTTTTAAAAAGCAGCGCAGTTAATAATTTCTTAAAATTTAGATTCATTGTGGGCCTGCTGGAATCCAAATTTGTTTTGCAACTTGCACAGAATTTTTCTAAAAGCAGATGAAAATGTTCTAATGAAAACAGAAATCTTACGACAGTAATCAGGTCTCCTCCACTCAATGCAGATATTGAACTTATGACATGATGCCACATAAGCAGCCAGAGCTACACACTGATTGTTGACATATTCAGAATCTCGCACCCAGATCTCACAAAACGTGCTGGGAGGCACCTGAAAACAAAGAAATAATCATTTGAAAAAGATTCTTCTTTAGTTGCATTTTTTTTTAAAAGCTGCTATACAGTATTTGATAACTAATAAAGTATCATCAGCCTTGGATCCTTTCAAAGTCTCAGTCAGGCCTGTTTCCTACTTTAGAAACAAGCTGAGTTCCTATTAAAATCTAAATAAACTTGAGATTGATTTAAGTTGGCAGAACATACAAAGGTGTGGCAGGGGGTGAAGGCGGAGCTCTCTAGCATGGCCAGGCAGTGGGAGCAGTCGCTGGTGGAGCAGTTGTGTTCTCGGAGGCGGCTGTAGCTGACGTAGCTGGTGGTGTTAGGAAACTGCCAGCTATCAATGAACAGAGCCTCGCTTACACCCAGCGTGGTGCCATTGGGTAGCATCAGATCATTGATTGGGTCTCCATCGCAGACGCCTAAATTGTTTGAGGCAGAAGGTTTTAAAGTGATCATTATAAAATATAAAATACAGATTAAAAGGTTCTCTTGAGTTGTATCCAATGGAGCAGTTTGAAAACATTTACTCCACTAGTTCTTCAGATATTTCTAGATCCAGTTTTGAACTACAGATACACACTCAATTAAAACAAAGCATTCAACTGAGTCTGCTGAAAACCATGTGAAAGCTTGAGTCACTGACTCACATTAAACTGCCTGTTTCTACGTAGATAAATAAATATTAGTTAAATAAGAAAATAGTAAAATCAAAGAGAAGATGTTAAAATGGAAATATGAGCATGAAACTGCTGCAAAACAAAAAACAAACAAGCAAAAGAAAGATTAAGTCTGACAAATCTTCAGTTTAATACTGAACAGAAACCTAAAAAGATTGGTTTTGCTCTTACCACAGAGGCCCATGGTGGGAAGCTTCTTGCCAGAGATGTCAGTATCGATCACCATCATGCCGGTGCTGTGGTACCACTGCACCTTGAGACCACTAGGGCTACGGATCAGGTACATGTTGCCCGTGTCATAGATCTCAAAGCCATACTTTTTAAAACGGGGCTTGGCGTACCGGGAGTTGACGTAGAGCTGATAGAAAACACAAATTTTTTTAATTTAATCAATTTGAAAATTTCTGGTTAAAATAAGCAACAAAATGAGGCTCTTACTCTCCTCTGCAGCCTGTTGATGATGACGTGGTTGGATTTATGGGTGATGTTGAGTGAAACCAGACACAGGTTGGTGAAATTCCACATGAGCTGTGAAAACGAAAATAAAATCAAGTACATCCAGTTGTAAATATGTCAACAGAAAACMTGATAAGCTGATGTCTCTCACCGGTGACTCTGAGTCAGCTGGACACTCCTGAACCAGAACGCTAAGAGTCTCGTTAGACAGCTGGGTCACAATATATGAAGCAGCCTTGTAGATGGCAAAGCTGTTCCCGTCGAATGTGATCACATTCAGATCAGGAAACATTGAGCATCGACCTGCAACACACACAGTAAAGAATAAAATGACTAGAATATAATCTGCTGCTTGTAGACATCTGAGGGGCACATATTCCAATCATATGTTTGTGTATTTTCTTACATGGACAATCCCACTTTGGGCAGCACTTGTCTCCATTGACCAGAACTGCAAAACCAAGCAGGCCACAGTTTGGAGGTTTAGCTGTAAAGGGACAGCTCTGGGATTTGTTGAACAGGACAAGCTGATTGTTGACACAGATGTACTTTGTGCACTCGTCAATAATTTCTGCATATGGAGGCTGGACAAACAAGAAAACAAGACACTGAAAACTCACAAAGAACAGATTTAACCAGGAATCACCAGGTAGGGAATCTTTAGGGGTCTAAACATACAATAGTGTATGGAACCCTTTAAAACTTGTGTCTATTATTTTCAGTGATGACTATATATATTTACATTGGACCATCCAACATCTCAACATAGTTTTATTTTCAAGTGTTGCCATACATTTTTATAAGAACTTCTTGCATGGCACATTTAGCGCCCCAGTCATAGATTCAATAACATTTATTAGACACATAAGGGTTTTTCACAAAATGCAAACATTGGCCACTTTTGGCTTTCCAAACAAAATGTGATTTATGATCTACTTTGCTTGTCATCCATACACCTCTTAATATTCTTCTTTGAATTTGTCCATGAGCATTGGTACTGCAAAGCTGTTCTACACTAACAATTYAAACAGGGAGGTTTTTTAACTCATCTGAACTAATTGTTGATGTTTAACTTTGAAGAGTGATTTATTTAATACCATCCTTCTCTTCTGGAAACTACTGTCATGTTGATGGGAGCTGTGATTACCTTTGACGTGTTCTCTGACTTTCTCTAAATGCTCTCCCCTGCTATGTTTACTGAGACTGTTCAGTACAAATCTATGCATCATTACACATCTAACAGTTACGTCTACCACACATTTGTATAATGAGCTACTGTTATTTATTGTACAATCAAAGTAATTTTGGACTCATAAGAAGTTCCAACTTTTAATCTAACTAAACAGTCCAACTGGTTAACTGATTTACCATATTTATTCACACACACACACACACACACACACACACACACACACACACACACACACACACACACACACAC